AATGTGAACACACCAATAGATTATCTAAGTAAAAACAATTAAAAAAAAAATAAAACCTCAATTGAACGCTCATAAACACTGAGAATCTGAGAGCAGAAATCGCAGCTTGTCAGCGGCAGCATTAAATGTAAAACCCAGTCGCCACAATAGCAATTTGTACGACTCGCGCGAAAATCATCACAAAGTGGAGATTTTGAACTACTCAGTATCTCTACAGTACAACAAACGGAACAGGGATTTCATCACAATCAATTTCCAAAAATTTAGCTTTTTTCAGGGAGTCTTTCACGTGCTCGAAAGTTATATTGGCTTTGAGCCTTGAGATTTATTTCCCTTGACAATAAAATGCTATCGAAAGTGCTTACAAAATTACAAAGGAAATATTTTTGGTATCGCTTGGGCCGAGAAATACAGATTTGAAATAATTAATGCTGTCACTGATGAACCAAAGGGCACAATCTTCTCAGTTATTAGCTTGATAATCTCCACAGACTATTAACGTTACTGGACCGAACGATCTCCTTTTTTTTCCTGGTGAGCCGGCTACCTCAGGGGAAAATTAAAGAGACCTTTCACTTCCTCTCATGTAAATCACTGGGAGATTGCGTTTTATTCATCTTTCTTTAAGCTTGTAAAAGATATCCGGGAGAAAAGTATGGAAAATAATGGTGATGAAGTCGCTATTCTTTTTCCAGAAGGACATCTTGCTCTTAGATTCTCAGTGTTTACGAGCGTTCAATCGAGGTTTTCCTCTTTTTTGTTTGTTTTTTTTTTTGTTGTTGTTGTTTTTACTTCAGAAAGCGGAAATCTGCTGACATATATGAAAAATATCCATTTCTCGTCTTCTTTGGAGCGACCGACGGAAACTTCAAGGAGAAATACAGCGTCACGCCATCGTGATAACGTACATGTTTATGACAAATGACCGGTGTGAGGATACTTTCGTGTAGATCAGCCGACTTCAACATGTTTCAAATGACATACAAGTATATCAGTGTATCTTCAGAGGACTTCGGATTGCTCAAATTCCCATGAAAGAAGGTGCAGCACTCGGAATCTGATTTGAGGTATATGTTTGTAGTTACGTCGAGTAGTCCTCCATGAAGGTTGATCGATTTTTTTTAAAATATGACGACCAGAGGCGAGATTTCTCCTCGGGATTTTGCTCATAAGATAACATTCTTCCAAAGTCTTACAAGTTTCATTTGTCTGAAACATTTGTTGTTGAGAACATTAGATGTAAACATCGCCAAATTATGCAACATCTGATTTTGAGCTTTTTTCGCGAATTGCCCCTATAAAAAGTAGAGGCAGCCCCGCAGACATTTTTACATATTTAAAAACTAGAACATTATAACCAGCTAGGTGGGTAGTTTCAGTTCCAGAATCGGTGTACTTTTGGAGAAAGTCAGATAAACGTTTTCCTTGTTTTACCCGACAATAAAAATGATCGAAACTGTACCGAGATGAATAATCTATTGGTGTGTTCACATTCACTCCCAGGGAAAATTGAATGAATCATTGTAAGACGAATGATGTCACTATGTATGGTAGAAGTGCCAATTTGTAATGTTGTATTCAGCTTGAGATAGAGAAATAAACATTTCACTCTTTTTTTGCGACGTTTTTGTATGAAAATGAGGCCCCAGGCTTCAAAAAAGCAACTGTTGTTACCATGGCAACAAGAGTGCTGCGACCTAAAGGGCATTTTTGTGCATTCCCCCCTGAGTGCCTAACTGTATGCTAAATTTGAAGGGGGGTTGAAAATCTTCATTTCGCAAGATGTTTGATTCTTACAGAGACTTGTTCTTAGGTCTTTTTTTTTTTAGCGCATTGAGTAAAACAAGGCTTGGAGGTCGACATGACAAACTGGTGAGTACCCTCTGTTTCACGCAGTGTGACCCCCCCCCCCCTTAAAAAAATCCTGGCTACGCCTTGACGCGGACCGCAATCTTTTCAGAAGTCAATTTTCGTAGTAAAGTTCCACCAAGCAAGCCACTTGACTGAATCTGTTAGCGCCGTACTGGATTGAATTTTACACTTGACATGAAGGGTTTCATGCATTCCTATGGTGCTCTACGTCACCAGTGTTAGTAGTTGTGTTAATTAGGGATGCCTGTTGGTGCAAATCCATTCTCAGTCATAAGCATAAGGGCTGGAAAGAGAGCAGGTGGGTGCCTGCCTTCTGGCAAATCGCTCATAATTTGAAAATTATAAACACTTAGAGAAAAACCTCCTAATATAAAGTTGCTGACTTTAAAGTTTGACTTCAACCCAAATGATATGCCAAATGTGAAGTACTCTATATTCAAATTTGTTAGCACTTGCCAAACGTATGTACTGAAAATCCAGGATATCAATTTCAACTCTCCAACAACAAAAAACGACTATAGTACGTACGAAGGCCAAATCTTCTCTCTTTTCTGGTGTCTCGGTAAAGGGCCCTTTTCAATCACTGTCGAAGCGTTAATCTCGTCAACCATTAACTTCGCCATGAGTTAACCGTTGGACAATCATATCGAGACAAGTTGACTTTTTTCAGGATTTATTAAGTTTTCATATCAAAAAGAGATGTATGTCAACCTTTAAATACAATTATTACTATGAAAAATGCCTCACTGTAAAAGTATACATGGAAGAAAGTGACTTGGGGGAGATGAAAGAAATCTTCTTTTTCAATATTTTAACAACTCGGCAGTGGTTTAGAATGGTCAGTTCTCTTATTGACAACTGTAATCGTCATCACAGTGGCCACAATAACGACGTCAAATGAAACGATTCTTTAAGTGCGTGACCATTGCGTGACAAGTGGACGCGAGCGGCGTTGTCTTTACTCTCATCGACAACAGCAAATTGGCCGATCAGATCGCGATATTACTGCTAGTTATGGTTAAATAAGTCTACAGTCATCGATATTCCAAAAACGGCCGCCCCTACTACCATGGAAAATCAAACTTACAAGCACTGCGAGCATTGGAAAGAGCGCAAAATTTGTTGATGGTTTCGCGATATGGAGGACGCGAAACTCAGAGGAAGAAAGCATGAAACTCTTTTTTTGGGCACTTAGTTAACACGCTCAGTAATTTAAATTTTAAGTTTAATTTTCGAAATTGAACTGATTATTTTTTACACTTTATCTGAATTGCGTTTTAAATGAGTTGTACATAGTTTACGTCGTACCAGGCACATCATCAAACTAGAATTTCCTCGCTTTTTAGCAGGTGGTTATCATGTGAGATCACTTCCGTACGAGGCTAATAGCTTTTGCTGAGGTCTTTGGTTTTACTTGAAGAGCTGCTATCTTATTAAGTTTTGCTTCCCCCACAAGAACAAGCTCAACTACTCTTAGGTAAAAAAATTAGCTCCTGGGACTGTGACGTCTCGTGTGTTAGGGAAACAAAGCAACAGTTGCCGAGCTAGATTGCTGCTGGACTTTTCAAGGCACTAACTAAGAGTTCCGGTGCGGCCCCATTGCATATACCGTTCTATGACTGAAGGAAAGCGCCAACGATAAATTAATAAGTCTGAAAGGAAGATGAAAATTAATTTCTTTGTTGCGATCTCAGAAATCTATAATATTTTACAAGGATCTAAAGGCAAACAACTGAACATACTGCTTTCGCCATGTAACAATTATTGACAAAAACATGGACGATCCTTCACAGACGAGGGTCAAACTCTACATCAAAAGTGTTCATAGAACTGAAAGAAAGAAGATAAGGCCAAGTTAAAAGTTGTGAGCAGATAAGAAAGCTCTGAAATGCTGAGTTCTACTGATTTTTCAGGGAAGACCACAGAAAAGTTGTAGATAGGACGAGGGGAAGAGCTTCTATTTTGCAATTTCTTTAGCTACAACTGCAAAGATCATCTCTTTACTTTGTATTTCATCCTCTGATCAAAACATTTAATCATATTCCTCTACGGGAACAACAATCCCACTGGAATTTGAAGCAATCCCAACCTGAGGTTCCTCAGCTCAACTGGTAATAGCGTCCGGAAAGGCACGGGTCAGAATCCTGTCGAAGCCTGAATTTTTCCCGTGACATTTCTTTTCTGTAATTTTGTCACTGAAGCTCGCCTGCAAGGATTATGTCTTCACTGATTTGTTACTTTGAACATCTAGATCAGGGTTTTACTTAATGTGGATTCTGATGAATAACCCCTACTCGGTATTGCAACAAATTTTTTAACTGGAAATTTGGTCAGTCACAAGGCATAACAAGTATCATTACAGTCATTTTTTAGGAGAACAATGAGTCGCATAACATCCTAGAGCATTTTTACAGTAAATTATCTGAACCCAAAAGGAACATTCAACCGTCTATTTTGATCGTTCAGGTAAGAGAAGTCCTTAAAAGGATCGTTTTCAGGGGAACTTACTGTCATTTCGACACCCTGAGTAGAAGTCATCACCAGAGTCTCCCGCTCAATCCTTGTCACCAAGAGCAATCCTTTCAGTACTGCTCTCACCCAAACGACCAGACTTCACGAAAAACAAAAATAAAAAATTCAAAATGATAGTTGTATCTAGTCCAACTAAACAAACAAACTAAAAATATCGCATTAAAAACTTCTATCGACGGACGAAAGTTTTGTAATGAAACATCAGGAAAAAAAAACATAATGGTATGTTATTACATTTGCAGACAATAAATAAGTCTGACAATAAGATTAATAATTTACACTGAGAAGGCTCAGGTCAGTCGTGCCAATCCATCCCAGGCCTGCTTTTATCGATTAAAGCAGGTGCCTGAAAATGGATTCTTGATGACTGCTTCTTAGTGCTATCGGGCTGTGCCTCCTTTCTTTTAAGCTTCCCCTTATTACATCCCAAATTGACGCTTTCATCTAAATCAATACGAGATCAGCGTGTAAATACCTAGGTAAGGAATAATGGAAATCTGAACACGCCTAGACAGAAAAATTCTATAAGGTTTCCGGAAGATACATCCGTACACTTAGATTACAATGGGAAAGATGGAGTTTCTAAGTGATCATCATGTTTGAAGTTGATTCAGCAAACTTAATCAAACGGTGCCTTGCGTCTCCAGTTCTATTTCATCAATTAGTTCTTCCATACTTGGTCTAGCCTGAGGGTCTGTTTCCAAACATCGTCGGATAAGAGCTCGAAGTACACTGTTTGTCACCATTGCGACTTGCTGTTCTCGTATTTCAGGATCTGGTAATTCACGGATGGACATCTCACAAAGAAGCACACCAAAACTGTAGACATCAACCTAACCAAAGAAAATAAATAAATAAATAAATGAAAGCATGGAGAGATGCAACACCGTGCGTGCTTTTACGGCCATTATGCGAAAACTGCCGGAATTGGCAGAATATGAAGAAAGTAACTCTTGCTGCATGGGAATCTCATTACACCAACGCTTCTCACGGCGAAAGCAGTTATAGGAATAATTCGATTTTAGCCTTTTCGTAATAAATCCTCTCTTTCACTTTAAAGTGAGGGAGGAGACAACATTCAACCGTTGTGTCTTTGAGCCTCTTATAAGGTCAAAAAGGCTCAGGCTAATAATCGTAACTATTCTGTATAATTCACAACGAGGTCAATTGCCCATTAACGTGCAGACTATGATTAGAGAAACGCCGCTGATTTTTTACTTTTGCAAACTGTCATTTCCATATAAGAGCACCATTTTCTATACAAGGAGAGCAATTTTTTCGACTGATGCTTAAAGCCTAGAAAGATTTTGCTCCAAAACTGAGGTAAATAAGGCGGCCACCCTAAAGAAGAGAACAACCCGTGAAGAAAATGCTCAGTTACAGATAAAGGGGGCTGTAATATTATTCTCCGTCAAAAAGTTACAATGTCTAAAGGTAGCACATAAAATTAATCTGCGAATAATCTCATCGAAACAAAAAAGTGTGGTTTGATCATCAGTCTGAGCTAACCTTGACTGTTTGATTTGTAGCGTGTGCTTCAGGTGCACTGTAGATTGGAGCCCCAGGTGCAACTGTCATGGTCTGTTTCTTGAAATTAGCAGTGCCATAATCTGACACTTTAGCTCGCCATTGAGTACCTTGTCTCCAGAGCAACACATTTGCACTGCTGATGTCACGGTGAAGAATAGGGATGGGGCGTTTTTGGTGGAGGTAGTTTAGTCCTCGAGCCACATCCAGAGCAATAACGGTGATTTCTGTCTGAGAAAGAGATCGTTCCTCTAACAGTGCTTGCAAGCTTGTTTCCATGAGCTCTGTGAGAAACAAAGGTGTGTGGTCGTCGTTTGTTGCTCCAATGAATTGCAATAAACAAGGGTGTCGACATCTCGAAGCAATGTCCATTTCTCGCATAAACAACCTGAGGTTGTGAGGAGAAAGAATCACGTCATATATCGTTTTTACGGCAACGACACAACCACAGAACCTTCCTTGGGCAACCTCTCCCCAGGCACCTCTACCGAGGGTTTTGCCCGTCAGCTGAATTTGATTACGAGCAATAACCCAGTCTGGTGATCTTTGAACCTGATTATCACGTAATGTCTTCTGAGCTGTTGAAAGGCTTTTTGCTAGTTCATTCTTTTCCTGGTCTTTTCTTGTCAGTTGTTCTTCTAGCTCGCCGACCTGTTGTACCGAAATTCCTAGTCGTTCCTGCAAAGCAACAGTTGCTCTGTCTTTCTCTGTGATCTGAACTTGAAGATCTCTAAGTTGCTGATTCATTTCCCTTAATCGCAACTCCATTTCAACTAGTTGTTGCTCTTTTCCCTCCAGTTGCTCCTGCATGTTGGTCTTCAGCAACTCTTGATCTTGTAATTGACCTCGTGCGTTTTTCAGCTGCTGATTGATCGCACGCAGGTTTCCGTTTAGGCGATCTCTTTCCTTTAATAAGTTGGCCTTTTCCAACAATTGGTCATCTTTTTCCCTGAGCTGTTGTTGTAAGTTGGATAAACGAGCTCTCATACCCTGTAGCTCCGTCTGGCTCTCTAGCGGAAGGAAATCAAAGTGCTCTGTGAGCAAACTCGTGAATTGACAAATGATTTTTTAGATTATGTTTAATGTTATCTGGTTTAGGGAATTTTGTGGTTGATTGTCATATCTAGAGTACGAGCAGTAGTTCAGTGTTCGCTAATGTAGCAAAGAAACAAAGTAACGTTGGGATAAGAAGGCATTACAATTGAAATGATCATGCTATTACATTTGACAAGGTGGATGATGTCATGTGTTTTAAACGTCTATCATTTTTGTTTCTGGTTCAAAAGAAAAGGTTGAAAGTAAATGTGGGTGAAAAGTGAAATTTGCCGTCTTTCGTTGTAAATATTAGAAAATCAAGGCAATACTGTCTTAATGAAAACATTAACGATTCCCTCTTTATCAAATGAGACAAACGGGAACGAGTTTTGAGTGATATAACTAAGCCAAGCCTGCCACCGTCATTTTGGATCTCCGCCTGGGTAGATTTAAGTCACGTGCTAGGCAACGTATAATCAATAACAAGATAGAATTTCATTTCAGGCCTATTTATCAATTTTGTGGTGTGTAACTTTCACATTTTAGTACGTTGTATGTATGTTGAATCTTCAAATTGTCTTGAAACTTAAAAGAAAATTGTTCTTTAAAAATCGGTAGCGAATATTGTTTGTTTAGGTGTTATTTGATTTTCGTGTTAACTTGTTATTTCATCAGTCGCCGGCATCTCCTGTTGCTTCACACAGGAAAAACACACGCGACGAAACGTAATGATCAATTTTGTCCTCAATCTCACGCTATAACAGAAAAAGCTTTTGAATATCTGTAAACTCTGAGCGTTTCGCAGTAAGTGATATTTTCAATGAAACTTCGGATTGTTTTCAAGTTCAAGAATTGTAAATTACAATTTCATGAAAAACGAAGGTTGTTCTGTTATTTCAGTGTGAGTCCTTGCATGCCTGCCAGTCGCTGGCGCCGCTTGTTGAAACTAAAACGAAAAAAAAAACTCTTTTAAGATTATCATTGGCTTCTTTTTCACCCCACCACTATTCTTAGCAACAAAGGTCGCCATTTCGTCTGTTTATTGCTCGCCAAAAACTATAAAATGCACTCAAAAGCCTAAAATCTAAAAAAAGTTTACAGGAATCGACCAATCGAGCGAGCGAGCGAATGCCAATCACCACATCGTATCTATAACTCGCTCTTGCGCATGCGCGCAATTCACGAGTTAAAAAGGACAGAATTTGTTTTACTTAAGAAGTAAACTAATATACTGAATTCACCATAGCTCACACACTGAAGACATTCTGGTGGGAAAAAAAAATGAATACAGCAACCTCTGTAGCTAGCACGCAGCCCCCCCAAAAGTTGGCGCTTTTGACGTAATGCGTATTTACATAGGCAAGAGTTCAGCGAAGGAGGATCCTCGGCTGTATGCAAATGACGTCTATCTTTGTTAAAGTAGTATGCCAAACATTTACTACTAGCCGCGAGTAGACTCCGAAGATTGACAGAACTAATCACATACCCAGATCGTAAAACTGTAACTGAAATGTAGGGAACTTACAACTGCTTGACTGTGAAAGGTCTGGGTACAAGGCTATGACCGAACCTAAAGGAAGTTGCCTTCAGAATGAGCCAAAACCCGTGGTAAGGGACACATTTGCAAAGGGGCAAACCTCCAGATACTGCTGATAACATTAACATTTACCTTCTACTGACTAAATATTTCGTGAAAACGGAATCAGCAAAAAAATGTTTTGCCCTTTGTACTTGACAAAAGTACTCTTGAATTTTGAATTTTGAATTTTGAATTTTGATGTTTCTCGTTTTTGCCTTCTGTAAAATACTCCACATCCATTATTAATGTTACTATAATTGAAGTTTTAAAAAAATATCCAAAATAAAACTATGGTGCAAGATGTCAAAAACTGAGGCGGAAGTGGAGGATAGGGACCACTTGAGTTTACCCAAAGTACGCGATATGCCTCTGCAAAAATAAAAAAAAAACCAAACAAAACAAAAATAGGACAGAAAATTATCGCTCATGTTCTCTTTGCTAAGAAAGTGTTATGAATAATTACAATTGTTCATGAGTAAAAGTACAGGAGTACGAAACTGACACAAAAAGAGGGCGGTGCAAGAGGAGTTTTCTACTACGTAGTTATTAGTTGCGTACCACATACCTAATCGTGAGTCTGGTTGGCAATTACTTAACAAAGTAAAAAATCCTTTTCCTGCTGGACAGGTGAAGTATCTTTCTCCATTACAGGTTCCATCTGAATAATACGACTCTTCCTTTTCCTTCAAAGAAATGCAGCACAATGTCACACCCCTTTACACAGTTTCTGGTTAATCATATGTATTATGCTCGATTAAACCAACGTTTCAGTGTTTTCATGACCAAGTTGTCAAGGTTAAATTAAAAGAAATGATGGATATATCGGCACTCACTACTTAAGCCTCATTGCCGGCTCATAAGTAAGACAACCGCTGTTGTGATATTTGTATATCCTAAACACAGTAGTTCAATCAGTATTTATTTGTCCAAATTATTAAGTTCCTTTCATTATTTATCTCACCATTTCCAGACCTACAACCAGCTTTCCCTTCCTTTGTGGCATATTTCCCATCCAGCGAATGACACCAAATATTTGAATACCATACGACAAAGGAACCTCAACCATAGATCCAACTTCAAGACCATAAAAATTATCACCCGTCATCTTATCATTCTTCCTGTCTATAAGTAAATTAAGCCCAGCTGTTATCCTTCGTGACTCGTCGTTTGATTAAGTAAACTGAGTGGCACTTGCAATAACATCCAACTGGTTGTTTATCTCCGTGTACTCAGACCGCTCTTAATAGTCACAGGATTTTATTGGTCATTTCACTTCTACATTTCACATGCACACGAAATTTGTCGATTGAAAATCGTTAAAAAAAGGATGGGGAAAATGTTACCCCTTTCAAAAGAGCGCTCTCAAATGCCTTTCACAACTTTTCGAAGTTTTCACGCGAAACAAATTTGACTCGCACAAGCGCTTCAGCGCCCGCTGGGCGACGATGTGTGACCGAACACGAACGATCTTGAAGTTAAACACACGTCTCCTAAAGAGCACCTTACTGGTAATACACCTCCATTGTGCACGTTCCTCACGTCACGTAAAGGATTATGGTTGATTAGACTTGATAAGATGGACAAAAAAAATAACAGTGATAAAGATTATGATGGTGATGATAAGCACTCAGTGATTAATGACAATCTTGCGCAAGAGCGAGCAGATCGCGAAGAGGTGCGCACTTAAAAACCAAGTCAGTGTTCTTGAACTGAGGAATATCAAATGTAGCTAAAATGCATTTTAAATTTACATGCAAAAGATACAGGCAACGAGAAAATCAATATGTAGCTATTAAATAACGTACATGGGGCACTTGAGCTCAGTAGTACATACCATATGATGATGCGGGTGCCTCAGTCGTGACATTAGTCGCATCCCCCAAATATTCCCTCAAGGTTTTAATGATAACCACAGGCTGAAGAGCAAAAACGTTATGCAATATATCAAAAGCTCGCAACTCATCGAGACATGCACTTGCGAGTCTTTAAGTTGTAATCTGAATAATAAATGAGGGGTGTTTGTCTAAAGACAAGAATTTCGTCTCTAGACAAGGGGCACAACTGCGCAAAAAAATAGGCTGATAAGTTCATTTTCAAAAATGTCCGAAACGTTTGTAATATTTTACCCTTGTAATCATCCTTAATCATCAAAGAGAAATATGTAACTAAAAAATAGATCTGTCTGATTTGGATATCACATGGAATACCTTTCCTTCGGTAGAACTTTAGCAAAGAAAGATCACTTTTTGGGGCTCAAATGTGACGACATCACAAAAATTATCTTTATACTTCTGAAATTATAGTGTCTGTAGGTATTCTGATCGGTCCACAGCCTTTTTTCTTAAAGTTTAAAACCTTCACCGCTACGGCGAAAGGGAGATATGTTGCGATTACCTAACAGAGTGATACTAGTTACCACAAAGACTGAACTGCGCCAAAGCACGTCCAAGGGATGAAATCAAACTTATTTCCAAGTGGTTGTCTGTCAAACATGACTCCATTCTAAGACTATATAGGCTACCCCTCTGCAATCCTAGGAACATATCCATTTGCTTTGACAACCTGAGCTCTCTCTACCTAAGCCCTATATAACTGGGCAACCGTTATTGGTCCTGATGAAAGAACCCTATAAAGTCCACAGCCTGGTCTTTCATATTGTTTTTCTTTAAGGAAGACAAGATTCCCAGTCTAAAATCGTCCATAAATAAACAGGCTATATGAGTTCCTAATAATTCAGCTAAATTATCACAAGGCCTCTTTGGTTTCACTTACTTCTTCAGACTTAAAAGCATAAAGCTTATAAATGTATTCAGCGTTGTTAGGTTGAGTGAACACATAGCCAAATACTGTTTTGTCATCTGGATCTTGAGTAATGAATGACAATCTGCTGATGGGATGAAAATGCTTTCCAGGCTACAAAAATATAACCAAAGAAAAACTTGAAACACACCTAAAAGATGAATTGTAAGATGTCCAAGAGGACATCTCTATAGAGAACTTAAATATAATCTTCTGAGCTTTGTGTGAGATAATTCAAACAAGCAAGTTTGCAGCAAAAATTCTGACAAAAATGGATCGACTGAAAAAATTTGGATTGGATTTGAGAACCGGTTTAAATTTTGTGGATAAAATTTATACAATATAAACAAATTCTAAACTCTGTTGTTAAGTACAGTTTTCTCTTCCTCAATCCAGACATGAGTCCTGCCAATACATATTTCACAATGTGTCTTCCAGTATCCAGCCAAAAAACGTCTTGTTCGTGCCTATAGAGATGAATTTCAATTAATATCAACATTTGGCATTCTCAGATTGATTTACGCATGAAAAGTTTGCGGCCCTTGTCAAATTTATATTCATGCATGTGTTAAATGAACCGCATGTTCTGTTCCCAAACATAAATGTTACAGGTACATAAACCCACAGATGTGTGAGCCCCTAATGTTTAATCACAATTAACATATCAAATTTGATTGTTTTGCAAAGTTCAAAATAAAGATGTGCCACCTTAATTCTGCAATATTGCAATGTACTTAAGGTGGGTCTAAACATGCTTCACAGATTGTTTTAAAACTTCAGTTACAGTTCAGTTTTAAGTTTAGTGATTTTGTCTCACACACATTTAACATAATGTTTATTTAGTATAATTGCTCCAGTGATTATAGAGATCCATATGCTCTGATTGGTAGGGGATTGCATCATATCTTGTTTAAGGTGATTATAGCAGGAGCACTAAATTTCAAAATGGCTGCCTCAGGTTTTGTTCCAAATAGCACATAAGATGCTAGTAAGTTTGGAGTAACACTAAATTCTCAAGAAAAGCATGATTTTTTTGCTGACTGAATTTAATGAACCTATCAAATTCTTTTGGAAACTGGCTCTTCACGAGTAATCAATATGGTCCTCTCAATATGAGTAATCAAAACAATTGAAACAGAATGGTTTCAAAATCCAAACAAATACTTAGAACAGAATTCAAAAGCACCTACAAGCAATTATACTAAAACAATCATTCACCTTAGGGTCAGTGAATATTACACAATGATACTCACTTTATCTTCGACAAATAAGTGTTAAATATTAACAAAACAGCAACATGCTTGTAGGTAACTTTGAACGAATTACGGTCAACTCGCCGACGGTCCAACTCGCCGACGCCAACTCGCCGACGTATAAAATCGAGTAGAGACGTCGGCGAGTTGGTCCTCAATCCAATACAACTTATTAGAAGTTAAACATACCGAAAAGTAAACGATATTTAGTAAAAAAAACACTGGTGAACATTGCACCTGTTACTTTTAAGAAAAGAATGGTAATGCCAGTTTATTAATATTTAATTGCAATCAGCACTATCAAGATTCACCTTGTTCAGAGGGTATCCAGTCAACTCGCCGACGGACCAACTCGCCGACGCCAACTCGCCGACGTATAAAATCGAGTAGAGACGTCGGCGAGTTGGTCCTCAATCCAATACAACTTATTAGAAGTTAAACATACAGAAAAGTAAACGATATTTAGTAAAAAAACACTGGTGAACATTGGTGAACATCAAACAGAAGCTTAAACATTGGTGAACATTACCAGCGACTATAACAGCTTAAGACGCGAACGAGTTATTGTGCGACAACAACACCGTAAAGACTCCTCATGTTAATCGCTCAGACTTTTTCAAGAAAACTTGGCTCTCTAGACAAGATCTTTAGTAAAAAGCAATTCTTTCTATTTGCAACAAAGTTCATAAGGATCTCAAGGCGAATAAAGCGAAGTAAACATCACCAATGACTCCAACTAGGACGACCCTAAAAGCCGGAACGGTGGAATAGCGGAATGGCGGAAAATGGCCCCAAATCCTAAAACACGAAACGGCGGAAAATGACCCCAAATCCTAAAACACGGAACGGCGGAAAATGACCCCAAATCCTAAAACACGGAACGGATGTCAGGGCATGTTGCACAAATTTTGTACAAAAACACTCAAGTGCTTGGCTCATTCATCCCAACGACGATAACGCGCGGGACTAAAATTAAGTGTTATTAATTTTTTTTTCTTTCGCCGAGTGGTATGAATAATAATGAACCATGCATGAAAGATAGCTGCGTTTTCGCGTTGTAAACCTGTTTAGTTACTTTTTGTTATGCTAAATTTGCCATGAGTTTTAGTCGCGGCATAAAAAGTCGCACAAACCAAACCATAGGATCCTCGACCGATAGCCTCTTCTTTATCTCCCAACTGCTTCCATGCGAATAATGGTAAACCATGACAATCCAAAGATCCGTCTGAATTACACTTTCCTTTTAGGAAGGGCAATTAAACGCCATAGAGCTGACGATTTGCAATTTGTTGAGGAACAGAAGAAATCCGCTGAACGAATTGGTGAAATAGCCTCTTTTTTGTCCAGAAAGTTTATTTCTTCCGCTGATATGTAAGCCGTAAATTTCACAGTAGGATGGTGGTGTTTTGGACACCTGGTCGCGAAGAAATTCTTCAAATTCTTCTTGACGGCTTCCTTCTGCTAACTTTCTTTTGTCTTTTCACGTCATGAGAAATTCCCACGCGTGACACCCTGCTAACCTCTCTTCACCCTGTGTTACTCAAGTCCCAAAACTTATTCGTGGATGAAAAAACGCTCGTATTGAGGGGCTCGTAACGAGGGCTTGCTCTCACGCTAGTCTAAGTATGGAGCTGGGGCTGAACCTTGTCATATTTTGAGAAGCCTGAAAACGTTGCTGTGATGTTCTCACATTTACAAGCATACGTGATATTATTGTTTCAATAAATCAATGCAGACGTGACCAGGAAACGTATCAAAGTTACAATTGTTTACTGTAATGTGGTATGTCAAGTTGGTTTTTACATGCTGTGCGACTTTTTATGCCGCGACTAAAACTCATGGCAAATTTAGCATAACAAAAGGTAACTAAACAGGTTTACAACGCGAAAACGCAGCTATCTTTCATGCATAATGGTTCATTATTATTTATACCACACGGTAAAAGAAAAATAATTAATAACGCTTAATTTTAGTCACGCGCGTTATCGTGGTGGGGATAAATGAGCCAGGCGCTTGGTGTCTTTGTACAAAATTTGTGCAACATGCCCTGACATCCGTTCCGTGTTTTAGGATTTGGGGTCATTTTCCGCCGTTCCGTGTTTTAGGATTTGGTGTCATTTTCCGCCATTCCGCCATTCCACCGTTCCGGCTTTTAGGGTCATTGTGTGACAACGACACTGTAAAGACTCATCATGATAATCGGTCAGATTTTTTAAGAAAACTTGGCTTTCTAGACAAGATCTTTAGTAAAAAGCAATTCTTTTTATTTGCAACAAAGTTTATAAGGATCTCAAGGCGAATAAAGTAAAGTAAATATCGCCAATGATTATATCCGCTTTAGACGCGAACAAGTTATTGTGTGACAACAACACCGTAAAGATTCATCATGTCAATCGCTCAGATTTTGTAAAGAAAACTTGGCTTTCTAGACAAGATCTTTAGTAGAAAGCAATTCTTTCTATTTGCAACAAAGTTTATAAAGATATCAAGGCGAATAAAGCGAAGTAAACATCGCCAATGAACAAAATTGGCTGTAGACGCGAATGAGTTGTGTGACAACAACACCGTTTTTACTAAATATCGTTTACTTTTCTGTATGTTTAACTTCTAATAAGTTTTATTGGATTAAGGACCAACTCGCCGACGTCTCTACTCGATTTCATACGTCGGCGAGTTGGCGTCGGCGAGTTGACTGGATACCCTTTGAACAAGGTGAATCTTGATAGTGCTGATTGCAATTAAATATTAATAAACTGGCATTACCATTCTTTTCTTAAAAGTAACAGGTGCATAAATGTAAAATTACACTGGGCATGCGTCTTGCAAGCTGTATTGTTCCTGTTGCATCAACATCAATT